GCATACGTGTAGAACTCAAAATGGATTAGTCAGATATTCTTAGATAATCAATTATCCTATATATTGTTAATAACCACTCTGGCCTTTTCCGGTCGAAAGGCTGTTCCCATAGTAGCTCAAATCTGATTTTAATCAGAGTATTGATAAAACTACTGTACTCGGACATCACATCTGCACTTTGTTCCGATTACTCTCCAATCCAGGAAGTAAATCCCCATTGTCCCAAGCTCGTTGGGATAGAACAGCGAGGTTAAATCATTGAGAAACAGCTCCAACCGAGTTGAATGACTTGCTCCCACAAGATAGGGCGATGCTTCACTTGCCGCCATTATCCCGTTGTTGACTGCGAGGACGCATGCAAATGCGCTTTAAATAATTTGGTCTTGGACATTCACAGAGAGCTTCGTCAACAATCAAAGCAAACCACACGTTTTGGAGGTATTTCTACGTGTCTTGATCTGAATGCCTTTCAGTTCATTCGCGTCAATCCAAAGGTCAATCTACGATGCTCGTCAACACATGTGGTACTTCCCAGTGGTTTGGGACATTCTAAAGAACGTACAACTACTCGGAGTATTAGAGTCTAGGTTCGCTGATGTGGCTGCTCTCATGTAATTGGATGAAACAAAAGTAGCTTTTTTTATTTCTCCAACAAACGTTCTAGTACCATCCCATGATGGCGAAGCATTGGCTCACACGGAAGAATCTCTAACTCGCACAGATCTTCGTACTTCTACTTGAAAGTATTTACGCGTGTTCATGAAGGTCTATTCTGTGAATCCCGAGAAGGAGGTGGCATCTGCTAGACTGTGGGAATAGTTCGATGTCGATGCCTCCATTTTCCTACCGTGAAAAGTGATTATAGTTCCCGTGGCCTTTCTGTTGATACTCCGGAGTAGTACTGACTGTGAAGTTACTGTTATTAATAGTATTTTATTCATGAATTCCGACGCGAACATTCGCGCAGAAAAATAAATTGTTTTCATTGGCTAAAATAAAACTATTTCAAACATCAGTCGCTGATTGGTCCATTAACGTGGAAGAGCCAGCCGTGCATTTTGACCATTATTCTTGCAGTTCCGTTGGCGACGATGACCATGTAAGTGTGTGTCGCTGTACAGATGCCCGTTCAAGAAAGTCTTGACGTCATGCATGTTCCTTCTTGAATAGTCTCTGCTGCATGTGTGGTGTGTCCATTGAGTCCAACTTGGCCAACATGTGCGCGCCATGTCTGTCGACAGAAGTCGACATCACGGACGGCATTTCGAAAGAATGTTCGCTCGTGCAATGCAACGGGTGCCTGCGGTTCCAACGAAGCACGGGAGCGAAGGGGACAAGTGGGATCTACGCCGAGTGTCCCTTGGAATCCCTCGACCTCATGGCGTTGTGCTTGAAGAAGATCCACGGCCTCAACAAAGACGTGAAACTGATCGACGCCAGTTTCATCTGGACCGAGCCGCACAGCAAGCGCATCAAACTCAAATTGACCATTCGAAAGGAGGTACTCGTCGTCATGATCACCACTTCCATCCCCTCTATCACGATGCGTCCATCTCATCGATGTCCCTCGCTCGACCCCTGCTACATTAGGCCATGCGTAACGCGATCCTCCAAAAGTCGTTCATTGTCACGTTCATCGTGGAAAACCTCAAGTGCACGGATTGTTCCAAGCAGTACAACAACTCGACGTGGAAAGCGGTGGTTCAGATTCGTCAAAAGGTACGTCATCGCACCCCTCGATCATCCAACATCCCGTCAACTCATCCATCGATCGATCAAATACTAGGTGCACCACAAGCGAACGTTCTTCCACCTCGAACAAATCATTTTGAAACATGGTGCTCATACCCGCGCAATCGGCATGACGGCTGAGAAGGACGGCATGGATTTCTTCTTCAACGAGAAGAACAGCGCCGAACGCTTTGCGCAATTCCTGAGCCAACACGTGCCCACGAGGTCCAAGGCGGCGCGTAAGCTCATCTCGTCCGACAACCACAACAACACGGCCAATGTCAAGCTCACTGTGCACGTGGAACTCGCGCCCATTTGCAAGGACGACCTTGTGATCGTGGACAAACGACTTGCCCAACTATGCGGGTCCAACCTCGTTCTCGTGACCCGAGTCACGACCCAAGTGCATATCTTGGACCCGTTGACCGGCCGCCGGTACGCCGCTCTCGCATTCTCGTGGATATGTGTCTGAAGTCGTAGGGCTTTTGTGTTTTTCCTATTGACTGGTATATTTCGACTTGAGGGAGTCATTTTTCGCCAAATAGCGTTCGAATCGATTGGATCCTACTTTTCATCTTCCACACACTATACAAAGATTAGGATATATGTGGTTTTGTCCAATGCGGACGGGTGAAACGTTTGGATTGGCAGAAATTCGACATGACGTGATTTGATTTGATTGGTTCCTGAATCGAAGGCTCCAGATTTGTCAATATCGTTAAGTGTTGGAGGAATGGGGCGTTATTCCGAGTGCATATTGTGCTTTGAGTGAAATGTCGTGTTATGGTTTCTCGTTGGAAGTGAAATCGATTTCATTGGCTACTTCAGATGAGCTCAAAATGATTAGCCAATCAAAACCTTCTAAATGAAATTCAACCAATCAGATCGATTGTGGATCGGTTTGGTCGGCGCGATTAGATTGCACCCCCTCCCCAGATTTGTATATCAAATCGACAATGTATATATATATATATATACAACCTGATGCTCCTCGTCTCAGTTTATATATTGTGGATGATTCGGTACAGATTTCCAGACCCCGTCAAATCGAATCTCGCCGCTGAATCGAACAATCACGAATCGACGGTATTGGCTAATCCAATTTTGAGTGAATTTGATTGGCTCTTACAGATAGATTCAACCAATCAGAACTCCAGCGTGATTCAATATTAAGTAGTACTAGTCAAACCACGCGAATTTTGGAAATTTATAGCGAATTACTGATAGAATTATGGGTGTAAAAGATAGGTTGCCATTGACACTAATTTCAGTCTAGCAACATCGAATTGTATTGACGATTATTTGGATTCGATTGGTCACTTGATTCGTGTATTGAGTGTTTTGATTGGCCGATGATCGCCGATTGACTGTCGATTCGAATCGACAATATGAGCAACATGTGCGACAACGTGTATAAGTCGTGGCTGCACTCTCTCAAGTGGATGATGGTGTATGTAGCGCTGAGATACCGTCGGATCGGTACTGGAAGACTCCGTTTGAAGCACTCGACAGTGCGTCGTCGATGGTCGACTATGTCGTGCTCAACGTCGAGTTGGTGGACGAGCCGCGTCGCCACCGCCCGTCGACGGCCTCGGACGTTGCTCTGGTAGGACCTGACGACGTGATGGCGGTCGTGGAAGTGGCGCGGGTGTCGGACTTGGGCGTGAATGACACGACGTTTTCCGTGATGACGCACTTGGGGCGGTTCCTCTCGGCTGGGGACTTTGTCAAGGGGTACGACCTCGGTCGATGCAACTTTGGGTCGCAGCAGCTGTACCACCTCCAAGCGGACCTGCCCGACCTCGTGCTCGTACGGCGCGTGTACCCCAAGAAGGACAGCGGCGACCAAAAGAAGAGCAAAAAAGGCACGCGGCGCAAAAGCATGATGGCGCGCAGTGGGAAAGCCAAGGATGTTGAGCGAGTAGAAGCCGAGTACGAAGCGTTCATGGACGACTACGAAGAGGACGACGAAGCTCAAGACGTCGGACGAGAAGAAGTTGGGGGCGACGATGAAGAAGGCAGTGCTGCCGCAACCGAATAGGTTGATCTCGGGTAAATACGGTAATATGTAGCTACCTACACACATAGCACGCACCTCTCAGCAGTCTATTATGGGGTTGACGTGGTCGCACTGGCATTGTAATCAAATAGGTTCGAATTGTACTTTTCATCTTAAACTATAGACTGTTGTGCTATATCGCCAAATCTATCCATCGATTCTTTGTACTGAGTGTTGTCCTTTGGTGATATTGTATTCACACTAATTTCAGTCACATACAAATTCGATGTTGGTGATTGTTTCCTGCAATCTGATTGGTTCATTGCTTCTGCCGTGATTCATGTAATACCCTTGTATCAAATATTAATACTTGTTTACTAGTAATTTACGGTTTTTGTACTATTAATAGTCGCACTTCTAAATTTAATTACTTGAACATATTATTAATATCATTATAAGGAGGTTCTGAGGATTTTGTCTCCCAATCAGGTATACAGAATTCAAGTGACTTCCTTGCGAGGAATCAAATTCACATAGGAAAATTTCAATTTTACTGTTAGAAACTCGACGAGCAAATTGACCACACGAGGGGACCTGCATAAAGTTATAAAGCTCGTCACGATCTTCAAAATGTATATTTTCGCAGCCTCAGGGCGACGAGTTACATACCGAATCCACAAATCTTCAAAGTTATTCATATATTCAGATCTCTTTTTCCTGAGAGTACTTCTGGGAGAAGAGAACGATCACGGGTGTATGGGTACTGTATTAGTCTCTAGTATGTTCATCGTAGCAATGCAGCAGTGCCCATGTTACATGTGTGTGTTATGCCAATGCAAGTTAGTGTGTCTACAACGTTGTGGTGCGTCGTAGCATCCATAACCAGTCAGTCTTATAACTTATGTCGGACAGACTGCAAAGGGCAAAGGTATTCATTCGGTAGTGTGCATACAGTACTACTGTACCACTACTACCTACCACCCGTACTTGGCTTGGGTTTCCTTTTTGGACTTGACCATTTGCGACTTGCTGTCCATCAGGTCAAACTCGCGCAGCTTGGCGTCAAACGTGAGCTGGTTCAGTTGATGGCGCTGGCGTTGCAGTCTACCTCTCCGTCAGCATGCGACATCTCCCCACCATTCGTTTCTTACCGAGACGGTTTGTACGATGCAATCACGTAGCCCCCTTCCGTCTCCGTCCCAGCCATGCTTGCCAGCACTTGCGCCTACGTCATGCCCTCAACCACGGACCAGTGGAAACAAATCTCTCTCTCTCTCAGTACCTACCTCGCGATCATGCGCGTACCCACGTCCGTCGATCGGTGGTTGCCACGCTTCCGGCGCGGCCGCCTTGACCTCTGTGATCTATATTCCAACGTGTCATGATACTTCACAGCACTAGATGGTTTAATCTACACCTTGCCAGCGACCGCATCAAACTTGCCCTGTTGAAGCAGTCGTTCCAAGTTCCGCTCGTGGTTGCGTCTGCGCTTGCCCTATGCAACACATGGTGATTTGTTCATGTCCAAGCATCAACGTGGATGGATACGTATGCAGGTATACGCACGTGTCCGTAGTCGTCTGCATCGTGCTCGGCGACAAAGCTGTACTTGGGGTCGTTGTACGCTGGAGGGGCAGCAGCGGATGATGACACAGGGGTTGCCTACATATGGCCATGGCAGTGGTGAAGCCATTCGTGCGTCGCAAGCCTTACGGGAAGAGGGGTCGCTTCAGGTAAGCTGGCATGCCGCTTCGAGTGCGGTGGCTCTTGACGCACGGGCAAGGCCACTTTGGGAGGGGGTAAGAAACTCAACAACGCATCGGTAGGTGGCTTGGTCGCCGTGGACTGCTTCCGCACCGCAGCGGGTTGTTTCTTCGTGTCCGTGTCGGAATCGTCGTCGCTGTTCAATGCACGGCCGCTTTCAAGCAGCTTTTGGATCTCTGGTGGCAAGTGTAGTGTCTTTTTCGCCTTCTTCTTTGGTGGGCCAGCACTGGATGTTGGTTTGTGTGGGATGGAGCTTTTCACAGGTGGCTTGTCGGGGAAAATTGAAATGGCCGGACCACGGGTCAATGGAGCGTCGGAGGCTTGCTGTGCTGATGTTGCCGGTGCTGCGGTCTTTGGCACGACAGGCGACCCATCGCTGTCAGAGTCGGACCCGTAGTCCGCAACGAGGGACATCGCGCTCAGAAATAATATGAGAGAGGAATCGCAACATCGAATACCGTAGATACATTTTTAAAGGTATTGATTGCCACGACACGAAGAAATGAAGTTATCCGGATTGTCTACTTTCACTTTCTGTAACCGACTTTACTGTGCGTGCGTGCCACCAATACAGCTATGCTGTCAATGATCCAAAGCAATGGTGGTGTGCCGACGATGTCACGACGAGACTATTTACTCACTGTCAACAAGTACAGGGAATCGACGCGGACGGAGTGACCTTTCAAACGCCCGCGGCCGTTCCGAACGCTCAACCACATCCAAAACATGTCCAAGAACATCAATAAACTATAACTAGTTTCACCACCGCAGAGACCAAGCAAGCTCTGACCAACCAACCAGCAATTGCTAGCGAAATACGTCCCCACCACGACATAACACTAAGGATAAACTAAAGTTTATCCAACGGGAGCTGGGTGTCGTTGTTGGGGAGCATCAAACAAAATTGCACCAACGTTTGCAACAACTACGAACGACTGTTTTATGGAGTTAGGGCCAACCGACGGTAGCTAGAGACTAGATGTGGCATACTTCATTGCCCCGACAAGCCTTCGTCTTAATCCCACAATGGCGGGTCTAGCAGTGGCACTGCAGCACAAGAGTAGACTTAGCATACACTTGGAGGGACGGAGCGATTGTGCCGATCACTGGTTTCACTGTGTTGCCTTCGTAGCGCACGAACCTCACGTCCACCTTGTGATCATTCTGGGGTGAAAACGAATTGTCGCCCCGGAACCACCCGAGGGCAATGTCCTTGGTTTCGCTGGAGGAGCCCAGCACGAACCAGTACATGGTGTTGGGCGTAAGAATAATAGGGGACTTGGGGGTCCACTGGAAATTGACTTTATCGACATTGCCATTGATGGGGATGCGCGAAGAGGCAATGGGCTCGTTGCAAGCGGGTAAGTCTAGAAGGGAAACTCTCCTGAATATATATTGGTTTGAACAACTATAGGGGGATGAGTGTATCAATGGGGGATTGGTTACCGTTAACGGAAGGGCACAGCTCTGGTCGCAACCATATCGACGCGTTGGTGGGAATATTTTTAGGCGTTTCGACGGAAAATTTGAAATAATCAAGGGTCAGAGTTGAAATGACTGCAAAGCCGGGATGGTTGCCATAATCTCCTAACGATGGGGCGCGGAATCGAAGCCCCAAATGATTGGCTGAATTGAATGGGTAGCTGTAGCGTCCTTCTTGAATGATTGGTGCGGGGTTGTCAAACAACAATTGAGACGCAGCGATGGCATGGACGAGAGCAACAAGGAACTTCATGACAATAATGACAATAAGTGAAATCGAGAAATGAAGATAGGGGTTGACATCGCCCTTTGTTTGGGTGCTCTATCATATTAATACTTCCTCTGTTCCAATATACTGTCGACATTTGACTTCAAAGTGACCAAAATCGCATTTCTAGTTCAATTTTGATGAAAATCATTTTCGAAAGCGTTTGAAAAATTGGAGGATTTGTGTTTACAGTTAGCACAATGCAAAAAAATACAGTCTTGCCTATAATATCTGACTTTGGTTAAAGCGATTCTAATAAACATCTGGTACAAAAACTTATTTAGAAAAATATGCGGGGGTCTGAAGGGGCCAATTCACATCACACCCATGTGATACATTTTAAACCAATGAAATCAATGGAAATATTTCATGGGCCAATCATAGGGCAGTTAATGTCGACAGAGGAAGTATCAATACAACGAATAATTCAACGACCAAGCCATTCTTGATGACTTATTCTGGGTACTAGACTTTAAACCAGCAGCTGACTAACTTCCAATATTACTGATATCAATGCAATTGGACTGTAGTGCTTCCGAAATAGTATTTTAATTCGTCAGTAGATGTCGAAATATGCACGCATTTTGCTACTGATTAGATATATCTATTTCAATCAGAAGGCAGCAAATTCGAAATTGACTACGATTACGATTAGGTTACTGATCAAAAATAATATTTGCTGTTCGAACGATTCATCGATGGCGAAAAAATTGCGAGGGCTGTAGGGGCAACTATTAGATGATGGAGATCGATTTGATTTGGTTCCATAGGGTTTAAATGAACGGCTACTGCATTTATAGCTCATTGTCAATGGAGGTTTATTAGAATTTTAACCGGATATTATTCCTAACTTAATATTGCCTCTCGCGTTATCCGGCTGATTGGGCTCACTCGGGGGGGGGTGTTGGTTGTGTTTACATAATACGGTTTTTACACGACCGGCATCCGGTTATAAGGCTTCGTGCACGACGAGCGTCGGGCAAATTCTGCTTCCATCGAGAAATTAAGAACCCCTAAATACAAATATCAAGATATTTAAATTTGATGTGATATAAATCGAATTTGCACGACGCACGTCAAGCTGTAAGCTAAGCATTTCTATTGGCTATAATGTGCAAAGCCACAAAGGTCATCAAACTCCATCCAGCCACGA